AAAAAAAAAAAAAAAAGTAATGGAGATCTGTTGAAAGTTGTATTTTCAAACTTTGAAGTGTTGTTATTAATTTACATTTAGAGACCATATTGACATTTTATGTTACATTAAATTTTTTCTTCTTTACCTTCATAAAATCTAATAGATCTAGCTAATATGCATCACTCAAATATGATTAAATACATATTTATTTTTCTTACAATTGTGTTTCAAAAGTTATAATCACTCTGATCCGAGTCATTGAGTGTGAATTAATGACTGACCGGGCCATGTATGAATGTGCCAGAATGGAGTTTGTCTTCACATAAAAAATTAAAATAAAATACATTTTAAAAATACAAAAAATAAAATAAAGCATAAATTCATTACTTGAAATAAAAAACATTAACTTAAACGAAAACTATATAGATATATTTAAACAAATTATAAAATGACTAAAACGCACAACAAATTAACTAAAAATGTAACAAAATTATTTAAGCTATTTCAACATTTCTAATTTCGTTTAGTTTAAGTGCTATTGTAACAACTAAAGCTTAACGAAAACTATAGATATATTTAAAAAAATTATAAAATGACTAAAACGCACAACAAATTAACTAAAAATGTAACAATTATTTAAGCTATTTCAACATTTCTAATTTCGTTTAGTTTAAGTGCTATTGTAACAACTAAAGCTTAATGTAAACAAATTATAAAAAATGACAAAAACACAAAAAAAATTAACAAAAAATGTAACAATTATTTAAGCTATTTCAACATTTCTAATTTCGTTTAGTTTAAGTGCTATTGTAACAACTAAAGCTTAACGAAAACTATAGATATATTTAAAAAAATTATAAAATGACTAAAACGCACAACAAATTTGAACAAAAAATGTAACAATTATTTAAGCTATTTCAACATTTCTAATTTCGTTTAGTTTAAGTGCTATTGTAACAACTAAAGTTTTGCGAAAACTAAAAATGATAAAAACACACAACAAAAGTACTAAAACTTTAACTGAAATTTTAAAATATTAACTCTAAAGGTTTTTGCACACTGAGTCTGAAATTTTCGTATGCGTTTTTTCGCATTAGTCGTCGTCACGCACAGAAACCAGAGGTGGACGAAGTCAAATATTACTCCATTACTAGTGAAAGTTGTAAAGATAGAATTTTACTTGAGTAAAAGTACAGAGGTACTTGCTTTTAAAAGTACTTAAGTACCAAAAGCAAGTGTCTTTTTATGTCAATGCTCTGTTTTATTATTGTTGTGTGCAATAACTTATGCCTCTGAAGCAACTTAAAATACGTTACGCTTACTGAATACATATAATATTATTTTGTTAGGAGACGCACATCATTTTATTTACATAATTTAGCAAAATAAGACAATATTGTGTCTAATATGTACCACAATTTTAACTACTTATTATTGAATTGATATAAATAAATATCATTTTTGCAGCTGGTCAGTGTTCACAAAAATGCTGGGAAATTAACTTTACGTAGCCCTACAATAGTGATTACTGATAGACTCGTTTTACAGAAGAAGAAAATTACACACTGGCTTTCAAAGCTGCTACAGTAACGACTTTCTACTTTGAGGACATTGATAGAAATGTCGTGGAGTGAAAAGTAAGTGAAGTTAAGGTCATAAGTTTCCAGAAAAAAATAATACTTAAGTACAGATACTCAAAAAGTGTACTTAAGTACAGTAAGGAAATAAATGTACTCTCTGACAGAACCATTGCACACCGAGTCAAAATGCGAAAAATGCAGAATATAATTTTTTTTATGATGGACGAAAGTTCGGAGGCAGTGTGTAAACGTGATCGTCGTATTTATTTTTTAACGTGCGAAATTTTCAGACTCTGTGCAAAGACGTTAAGTATGAAATAACACTGATTGAGACCGATGGAATCAGACGTGCGTATGAATGTTAGTAATGCTCTCAGTCCTGAAGGAAACCCATGATTCCTGCGGGTTCAGAAGCTGAGCGTCTCGATCTCGACTCACGAGTGCCTCCATGTAGCTCTGTAGCAGATGATTTCTGATGTGCTCAAATGACATTCGTGTACAGTGGCGTGCGAAAGTTTGGGAACCCCTTGCAGAATCTGTGAAAATGTGAAT